AAAGAAAATAAATGTGGCAATGTTGCTAATCGAACCCGGTACCTTCACCTTCAGAGTCAGGTACTCATCTCACTATGCTATCGAAGCTGTTGAATGTCAGCGGATTTAAATAATTTCAGTACACTTTTTTCGCCTTACTTTCTCTCTATATATAAATAAATGCTATTGAAATGTTAAATGTATATTTACAGTGTATCTTATAAATATTCTTTATTATATATTAACAAACAATAATTACAAGCATTTAAAAAGATGGGGCCTCAGCTCCATTACTTTTTAGAAATGGAGCGCTACTCGTACATTAACCCTTACGGAATAACAAATTGATTGATAAAATCCAGACGTATTTGTTCCGTACTCACACTTCCTTACCTACCTTTAGCGAATAAGGTAACTCTTTTTGTAACTTTTCCTCCAAATATCCCAAATTGGAGGAACCTAGGTCTTGCACCAATGTGATCTTTTTGCGTTCGCAAGTTTTGTAGATATCCTTAACACTTCGGATTTTAAACCGATTAAAGGCTGAAAAATTTATTTTGACTTTTGAAAGCATGACTTGATCACAACAAATCAAATAGAGAATTGGATATTAAGACTCTGTTCTGTACTGAGAAGGTGATTTGTTTTTATATAGTACGATACAAAATCTGAACTTGCTGATAAGCGAATGGTACGATGTCACGTAAGAAAGGGTAGAGGTATCTACAATTAATGTGTTATGATTTGTACAAGTGTCTTGTCAACATGAAAAGCGTTATTTACGGAATGATTTTAAGTTTTGTGAGTGTTGTTGGTGTGTTAATCACACAGATTTGTCACGCAGGCATACTTTTCAATACTGAACTGATTTCTGCTTTTCTCCTATATTCCTGTATATTTCATCTTCACAATATCAAGATTTTGTGATATCATTCCTCTACAAAAACGAGGAACTGTGCGATATCATAAATTAATGCATTTTTCATTCACTAGACTGTCTTATCATTATTCAATGCATTGCTTTAAGCTCAATCCATGTAATTAAGGATATTTCAGCCCTTCTCTCCATTCCATAAATTTGGAATGGAGAAAAGGGCTGAAATATCCTTAATTACATGGACTGAGCTTAAAGCAATGCATTGGATAATGATACAGACAGTCTAGTGAATGATATGTTTGGGAATGGAAAGGAAAATGCAGATTGGAACTTTGATTTGAACAAACACAGATAATAAAGCAGATGCTGAAGCTAATCGCTGATTGCATGTGTAATGGATAATTTTTGTAATGTATAACCAGAAGTAGAACTCTTCTATGATTACAAATGATATTTACCAGCCAACGCTTCCTTATTCAATGGTTTCGATCCAGAATTTCTGAATTTCTAACACTAAATGAAAACAACGCTTTAAGTTTAACAAGTTTGTTACCAGGTTCAGGGAGCTCGTGAATTTTTTTTTTAGCTCATCTGAGCCGAAAGCTAAAGTGGGCTTTTCTGATCACCTTTTGCCTGTAGTCAGTCTGTCTGTCCGTCTGTATGTCCGTCCGTCTGTAAACTTTTCACATTTTCGACTTCTTCTGCAGAACCACTGGGCCAATTTCAATTAAACTTGCCACAAAGCATTCTTGGGGATTTAGATTTCTTCAAATGTTGGGTCAAGCCCTCTTCCAAGGGGAGATAATTAAGAAACCTTCATTACATAGTGTAGATTTCAGTTTGTTCAAATCATGACCCCCAAGGGTAGGGTGGGGCCACAATGGGGGATCAAAGTTTTACATTGGAATATATTGGAAAATTCTTTAAGAATCTTCATCTCAAAAACAACAAATCCACAATAAATCATATTGATATATGGAATCCTCCTCAGGTAGTTTAGATTCAAGTTTGTTCAAATCATGACCCCCCGAGGGTAGAGTGGGGCCACAATCGGGGATCAAAGTTTTACATAGGAATACTGTATATAGGAAAAATCTTTAAAAGTCTTCTTCTCAAGAACGACAAAGCCACAATTAGTAATATTGATATGGAATCATCCTCAAGTAGTGTAGATTCAATTTTGTTCAAATCATGACCCCTGAGGGTAGGGTGGGGCCACAATGGGGGATCAATTTTTTACATAGGAATATATAGAAAAAAATCTTCTCAAGAACAACAAAGCCACAATTAGTCATATTGATATGGAATCATCCTCAGGTAGTGTAGATTCAAGTTTGTTCAAAGCATGCCCCCTCCCCGAGGGTAGGTTGGGGCCACAATGAGGAATCAAAGTTTTACGAAGGAATATATAGAAAAAAAATCTTCTTCTCAAGAACAACAAAGCCACGATTAGTCATATTGATATGGAATTATCCTCAGGTAGTTTAGATTCAAGTTTGTTCAAATCATGACACCCGGGGGTAGGGTGAGGCCACAATGGGGGAACAAAGTTTTGCATAGGAATATATAGAAAAAAAATCTTTAAAAATATTCTTTTCCAGAACAACAAAGCCACAATTAGTCATATTGATATGGAATCATCCTCAGGTAGTGTTGATTCAAGTTTTTTCAAATCATGACCCCCGGGGGTAGGGTGGGGCTACAATAGGGGATCAAAGTTTTACATAGGAATATATAGGAAAAATCTTTAAAAATCTTTTCAATAACAGGAAAGCCATGATTAGTCATATTGATATGGAAGCATCCCCAAGTATTGTAGATTCAAGTTTGTTCAAGGCATCCTCCAGTAGTAGGGTGGGGCCATAATGGGGGATCAAAGTTTTACAAAAGAACATATACAGGAAATATCTTTATAAATCTTCTTCTCAAGAACAACAAATCCATGATTAGTTATATTGATATGGAAGCAACCTCAGGTAGTTTGTTCAAATCATGACCCCCCCCCCCCCCCCCCCCCCACAGGGTAGGGTGTCAGACATCTTTAAGAATCCGTTTTTAAGAACAGCAAAACCATGGTTAGTTATATGAATATAGAAGCATCCTCAGAAAGTTTAGATTCAATTTCATTCAAAACATGGCACCTGGAGGTAGGGTATGCATATATGAATATATAGGAGAAGAAATCTGCTGACGAAGAACAGCAGGGCCATTACGTAAATCTGAAAATTTTTAGTGTAGATAAATTTTTAGCAAATTTGCGCGTGCATTGCATTCGCAAAAATATTTTTCTTAAAAATAAATCAACATGTACAGAATTTTTTTTTTCTGAAAGTTGGTGTCTATTTTTAACTCAGTGAATAGGCGTCGGTAAGCACTGGTCATTTTTAAAAAGAAACCTGTGTTTATACTACTGTAACTACAAGCTAATTACCCGTGCGTGTAAATTGCCCTCATTATATGCAATATCATCCGATGGTTTGACAAGCACTGAGACGGTATGTCCCTTTTTAATTCTTTTGGCAAGAAAGAGAGACCATACACAACCTCTAAAAGGTTTGTTTTAATTAATTTAGAAGTTATTTTCAGTGCAAATCCTTTTGTATTTTTACTTTCAAAATTGTTTCGGAGCGATTCTGCAATTTCTTGCCACGTTGTGAGTATATTGGTGGTATTCCAACTGTGCATACTAATTTGAAACATAAACTGATATGAAAATCTTAAGTGATTTTTATTTTTAGCGCCAGTGACAATTCGCAAAATTTTAAAGCGTAAAAATTGATCAACAGCTTTTTGACCAAAATTCGCAAAAATAAATCGACGTAAAAATTTCCAGATTTACGGTATTTACTCAGGTGAGCGTTATGCCCATGGGCCTCTTGTTCTCCCTTCCTATTACAAAGTTAATCCTCAAAGTTTGCATAAAAATATACATTTTTTGGTTACCAAAATATAGAGCAATGACCCACTATACCTTAAAAATATACTTTTATGACATACCGGTACCATTCGCATCTTTTCGAGAAATACTTGAAGTCCATTGAGTCAAGGGTCATATCACAAACACGATTTAAATGTCAACCTTCATCAGGATTTGTGTAGTTTAGTGGTTAGCGTGCTAGCCTCGAAAGAAAATGATACTCAGGATTTTTATTGCTAGGGTTCGAACCCCATGAATTCCACATTATTTTTTTTTTTAAATAAAAAATAATTTTGACGAGAAAATTTTCCTCAGAAAAGTTTTGTTTATCATAATTTCATAAATTTCAAAAATGAGAACTTTACTCTAAATACAAAATCCACTAATTGAACATGATTTTTGTATATCTGAAGCTATAGGCTTTCTGCACGCTATGTTCGCCCATCTCCTTTTTAGATATAACTAAAACAGTGTAAATTTTTAGCCTAAAGTGGGCTATTTTTCCCCAGGACTTTCACAATGTATTGCTATATTTGCCCAATATGATGATAGAATTCATGACGGTTAATTTAATACATTATTTAAGATCAGCATAAAACATCTCACTGCACAAAATAACTCTGTTTGCAGGCTGCATGTAAAAATAGGAATCCAAACTTAACAATACTGTAAATTTTTAGAAAGAGAATAGTTGTATTTATGTGCAACATAAAGTAATTTATACCATCTATCAATTCATTGTATTGTATTCTTTCCGGATATCTATCGATTCATTGTATTGTTATGTATTCTTTCCGGATATTTTAATGCCACACTCAACCTGGGTTTATATCGGTAACTTGATCTTATCACGTGACCATTGTTTTGTCTGAAAAATGTTTTGACCCACCGTTCAGCAAAATTATTTCCACTTTTGTGCATTATTCTGTTTCATGGATACGGTTTATAGACACTGTAAGTAATTTATGCGAACAATAACATGATGTTCCTAGTTAGAAAGGCTTGAATTTAATCGTCGCACTTTGTGGTATCTGTGACTGTACATCATGCGGTGATGCTGACTGGCTGAGGATAGAATGACATTAAAAGTCCTTATTCTGGGGCATTCATTTATACGCAGATTGGAGAACTTTGTATCGATTAGTTCTGACCATCGGGTGACGCCGAATTTAAATCTTAATTCAGAGGAGCTACAGATTTTCTAATTAGGTTATGGGGGAACGTCACTGGCTCAAATTCGCGCGCAAGGCACTCGTTATGTAAGAGACTTGCGTCCAAATGTTGTTTTGTTACAAGCTGTATCAAACGATTTGTGTCGGAGAAACACATCAGTGGAAGACATTTTTCATGAATTTGCGGACTTTGTAATTTATCTCCGTGATGCGGAAGATGTGAAAAAAGTAGTGGTGCTTCAGACATTGCATAGAATTCCCCCGACAAGATGTATCAGGTTTCATGTGGACACAGAGTGGTTTAACAAGAGAGTTGATGAATTAAATAGACGCATGTCCAATTACTTGCAGAATGTAGAGGGAGCAGCATTCTTTCGCCTATCAGGTTTCTGGTGTCCAAATAATCAGAGGACAGTATTTCTGGCTGATGGGGTCCATTTGAATAATGGAAATAAGAAATATTATAATAATTTGAGAGCTGTTATTGTTTCCTTGATAAAGTCTATCAATAATGGTGGGTACATGTTTGTGCAGCATTTATATTTAGTCTAATGATACATTTTACAACTTTTATCTATTTATTTTGAAAATCCACATATGCAGTGGTGATTTAATGCAATCTAATATAATGATACATATAGCCATATAATTATTATATCATTTAATTTATACATTTATGACACCCCCGTAAAGTTGGGGTTGTTTATTTGGATCTTGTGTATTATTTATTAACAGCTTATTTAAAACTAACCATAAATTTTAATTTTAGCAGGATTTTATACCCCTATATGGTCGGGGTTTAGTTTTAGCAGGATCTTGCACCCCTTTATGGTCGGGGTTTGAATTATAGCAGGTTTTGCACCCCTATATGGTCGGGGTTTACTCAAGCAATATCCTGCACCCCTATATGGTCGGGGTTGAATTTTAGCAGGATCCTGCACCCCTATATGGTCGGGGTTACTTACCCAATATCCTGCACCCCTATATGGTCGGGGTTTAATTTTAGCAGGATTTTGCATATATTAATGGTTGAAGTTTACTTCAGCAATATCCTGCACCCCTATATGGTCGGGGTTTAATTTTAGCAGGATTTTTCACCCGAATATGGTCGGGGTTGAATTCAAACAAGATGTTGCACCCCTATATGGTCGGGGTTTAATTTTAGCAGGATTTTCACCCCTATATGGTCGGGGTTGAATTCAGACAGATGTTGTACCCCTATATGGTTGGGGTTTTTATTTCAAAGGATTTTTCTCCAGGAGCTACATATTGGGTTTGATTAACTGAGTATATTGCATGAAATTAATAAGGTACATACATTCCAATATTGTTGAGATTTCTAGAGATTTCTTATCTATAAAATTGTCAAATATGTAGATATTTTTGGAATTCTGCATGTATAAT